GTGGTGGAGGGAAAAATGCAAGTGCAATGCAGGAACATAGAATAACCTTCCCTCACAAGGGAAGAAGGAAAGGAAAGATTTAAAAACCAATAATCTGAAACAGCTCTATGCTTAAAAAAATAATAATAATGAAGAATTTTACATTATCCAAACAAACTCTGATGGTTTGGGTGAGGAGTGGGGGGTAAATAAATCCTTTTTTAATAAAAACCCTGAGCTTTTAATAAAGTGTTCATGCTGATGGGCTGAAAATATTATAAGAAGGAATTAACTGAGAGCTACTGATACTCTAGGGCAAAGCTGGCACTGCTTCTACAATACTACTTTAACGCACTGAATTTTTTAGGGGTGGCAATTGTAGCCATGTTGGTCTAAGGAAGCTTGCAAAGATTTTTTTCTAGCTATTTTAGTTGGTCTAATAAAGGATATCGGATTTACCCAAAGAACCTTGCCTGCCTTAGGGGTGGTGAGGAATTAACAGTATTTTAATTATATTTTAAGAGAATTATATTTTAAGTGTGCTACGTAGCAATAAAGAACACTTCCAGTTACCTTTGAAAGCCCAATTAGGGACTAAAAATGACTGAGTCTTGGTCCCTGTTGCTGTTGTCAGTGACTGTCTGGGATACCAGAATTTTTGTGGCGTCAATTTGTCTCTTAAGGGAGTGATTTCCTTCCCATGTTTTTTCCTAGAAGAGTAGTCCCTATGAGTCCTGGATGATAATCATTGAATGAGTGGTGATCTAAGCACAGAAATGGGAGCCTGAAATTCCTAAATCAGATTTGGATTCCTCTATCTAGTTATGGGAAAATCCTTTTCCTAAAACTTCCATTTACCTGTCTGTAAAACAATGCTGGTACTTATTGATATATGGAGGTTGTGAGGATTAATATTTGCAAAGCATTTTGAAGATGAAAAGTACTACGTACCACAAGTACCAGGCATTACTGTAGCTCTAGGACATTTTGGTTTGGCTTGTTTGTGTACTCTGGGAGATTTGTATTATCCATTGGAAATACACACTGCATCAAGAAAAAATAAGCAATAACTCATGGGAAGACAATTTTCCCGCACGAACATGGGAGAATAATAATAATGAATTCTAAATAGTGAGGAAAATGTCTTCTTTCTTCACAGGTTTGAAAAAAAGCATGGGCAAAAAATTCTTTTGAATTGTGCTATAGTACCCTGGTCTCAGAAAAAATAAGAACCACAGTAACACTTCTTTCCTTTCCTTTCCTTTCCCCCCCGCCCAATCTTCTATTACAGGATTAAAGACTTGAAAGGCGAACCATAGCCCAGTGTCACGGCAGGAGGAGTCAGTGGGAGGGGGAGGGAGGCCCCTTAAGAAATCTGCCACAGCAGATTCTTAGGCAAAAAAAATCCTATTTCTCACTCCTTAATTCCAGTCAATTCCAGTCAAAAGGCTGATAGGGATCTGTTTGCAGTAATTTGCTGCAGTTTATCCACTTCTTTCACCTTCTATCGGCTCTTCAGTGACGGGCTGGCTGACATGCTGTTACTCGAGTGAGGAAATTAAAATTTGATACAATAATCCCATATAAGAAGGATTTTATTAGGTAATAATACACTCTAGATTAGGTATTCTTGCATGATACATAGATAGAGAAACACAGACATGCTGGGTACCATAGATAAAGAGAGAGAGACACAGACAGAGGTAGAAAGGCCAGGGAAAAATCTCACACAAGTTGTTCTAACCTTAAAAGCACAATAGCACTGATCTCATTTACTAACCCAGTGTGCCAAAAAATGCACGCTTCAAGCCAGAGTACACGCAACGTCAACTGGACATTGTGGATGTCCATTTTATGACAGAGAAATGAGTCCAGGTGTTGCATTCAAAACTCTAGGTGTATCCTTTAACATAACAAAACCAACATACAGTGTGACAGTTTCTATTCCATGTCAGATATTAGAGGCAAAGCTGATGAAAATGGGTTTTCATCAGAAAATGGAGATTTGTCAAAAGGACCACTTTCCATGGGACTGTACCTACTAGCTGCAGCAGGAGAAGGATGAGATTTCTGGTCAGAATCAAAGAGTAAGCATGCCTCAACCTACTCATAACAGGCAATAACTGAGGAGTCAGGTCAACCACCTGGGATGGAGGAGACCACAATTCTAGTCCTGCCTATGGCAGATTCAAGCCATGGACTTGAACCTGGTTCTCCTACATGCCAAGTAAGCACCTTAACTGCCATACTGCTGGCTGTTCTTGGCCACCTCTCATCTGTCTTCCCAGTTGAACCTATTCCAATTTTATAGATAACTGAACCAGAATCATTAGACCAGGAAGAATAACTGATTTGAGTGGGATGTAGGAGACCTGGGGCCAAGTCCCTGATCTATAGAGTAAGATTCAAATCAGGAGCTTGAAGCAGGGTTTCTCACATCCCTAACTGCTGGGCTACCTTTCAGAGTACGTGCATGCCTCATGACTATCTCTGGATGGCAGACAGGCACTTTATTTCATGAGATCCAAAGAGACTAAAAGTTCCTTTATTAGCACTCATTCAAATCACTTCTCATGGTTAATCACAATCATCACTCTTGTAACACAAATTTCTACTGGAACCTCTTAATTCAGCATACAATAATTCATTATTGTATTAGAATTCAGTTCATGCCAGTCGGCTGATCTCATAGGTGTTGAGACTGTTAGGTCACAAAAACTCCGAGTCAGAGTTAGTCAGACACCCTGGAGATATATAGAAAGGAAAAAATATTCAGAGGCGGAGATGATCATAATAAAGCCGGGCTGGTAATTCTAGAGTCATTTTTTGCCTGGCAAGAGTGGGATAGCAAATTTAAACACAGTTTTCATGTTCTTGTGCTCTTTACAGACTCCTAAGGTTGTCATGCTGCAGTCATCAGTCATAAGCAGGGCCCACTCTGAACTCCCATCTATTACACACACATGCGCACACGCATGATGGTAGAGAAAGTGACAGGGAAAATCAGTCAGTGTAGGTTGTACACTCACACTGATTTCTATGGATGATGAAGATGGTTCAATGGATTAGAACCCTCCTTTCCACATTTTTATCCTGCATTCTGTTGTGACCCTTTTGCAGAAGCCAGAGACCCAACAGAAACTGAATTCCAACAAACTAGAAAACATTTAGATTATGACTCACTAGTTTAAGGTGCATCTCATATTTCAGGTTAGACACTGATACTTTAGTATATGTTCTGAGAGTAATTGCTATGTGTGGTTAGTGTAAGTATCAACATGAAGGGCCCATTTAGTTTCAATCTTATTATACTGTCGTTTAATTTGAAAGATGTTCCTTTGCAGGATACAAGGTCACTCTGTGAAGGTGATTCAGTCTATAATCCTTAATGCTGAGGGGAAGGTATATGTGCAGGGGGAGTTTCCATTTCTGTAGCTTCACATAATTCTTTGTTTCTGTTAATAAGATGCATATAGACATTTTTCTTCCTCTATTTTAGAGAAGCTGCTTATTATAAACATGACTGGTATTCATGCAAGTCATTCATGTTACTATTTGTATTACTATTGACTTTTGGCTTGAATCATGTCTCAACTTCTTGGCTAAGATCAAATATCTAAAACATCTCCTGTTAGAGCAAACTACACTCTAACCTACAGAGGGAGAGAATCAATAATCTAATAGTTCTTTGCCCTCTCTAACATTTATGATCCTAATGGTTTTTATCTTGGCACATACCTAGAATATTCAATATTTATTTACTGATCTTCTACATGATGCCATTTTGGGAGGTGGCAGGTTTCTGCATATGCAGAAGAGGATGATTTATTTGTGAATTACTTGTGATTTCATATATTTGAGATTTTTGTTGTGGCTATTTCAAAAGTGCTTTTCCACAGTGAGATTTGTGCAGGTAGGTTCTAACCCCATTGATTTTTGTTATGGTTCATTGCTTTAGGTTGCCACCACATGTGCTAGGCCCTATATTTCAAATGGAACAAAGATACAGAAGCTAGAGCTGAGCTCAGCATTTTGTCTGCATAGAATGTTACATTGTGTACCTGGATAAAGTGAACAAACTAATTTGTCCTCACAGCTAAGCCAGGTGTTTGAATTCAGGGCTACAGAGGTGACAGACAATATATGCAACATGGAAATATAATACAGAATGACCTAACCACAAAGCACTCTCTCTACATATATCTGCTTTATGGCCAAATATCTCCAAAAACACCTAACTGACCTAAGTAGCAATGACTTTAAATGGTATTAAGGTTCCAAAGGCTTCTGAAAACATCGCCCTGTGTTAGGCATGATATCTTCAGAGCAAGTGGATATGATGCTACTGTCATAACCAGCACAATTATGGTCTGCTATCTGTCCAATTTCTTCTGTCGAACACAAAATATGCCATGATTAGAAATGAGCTATTTTTTCTTTTTTTGATAAAAAGTAAATTGATTGAAAAATGGACTTTTTGAGGAACCAAAGCTGAAAAATCTGGGTAAATCTGGAAAATAGTTTTAGCCAGAAAAATGCTGGAAAAAATACTGAAGCTGTCAGAACATTTCATTTCAAGTTTCAAATCAAAATGTTTAAGATAGAAATTTTCAAAGTGAACTTTTTATTTTGGCATTTGTTATTTAAAAGTTGACCTAAATTTAAAAAGGAAAAAAATTAAAAGGTGGATTTTTTAAAAAGCTGAGCAATCTTAAAATCAAATGAAACATTTTGCTTCAGATTTTTCCAAATACTTTTTTTTGGATTTTGTTTGTAATAAATACAATTTCTGTTTCAGATCAACCTGAAATTAATTTTTTCTTGTGACTTCTTGATGCCACTTCCAAACTAAAAATTAGGACAAAGCAACAAAACCATCCTGAAGGGAAGAAGCCATTGTATCAGAAGGGACAGAGGTGTCTCCGTCCAGCATTAAAATACAGTGTCCTTACATCTCTACTCCTCTTATTCTCTCATTGCAACATCACAGAAACATATCTGAATGAAGAAGAAGCCCTTACCGGAGGTGAGTTCTCATAGATGTTTGTGCTGTAGGGCAGATTGATGAATACTGGATCCATGTCTTGCACATCTGTGATGATGATCGCCAAGTTGGCCAGAGTGGACAGGGGCTTGTTTTTATCTTGGTCCTTAAAAGCAAGGAAGAGTAAGCATCATTAAAAGGAAATGCAATAATTTAGCTCACACAATAATGATCAAACGGCTCAGACCAATACTGGCAGGGATTCTCAACATCTTTCCTAACACTGCATCAGGTTCTATAAATACTCCTGGAAATCGCTTTTTCTTAAAACTCCAGCAAAGTTATTGTTGGCAAAGTCTCTCTCTCCAAGATAGAAAATAATATGCTTTTCTGTCCCAGATCTACCCTTTACAATTTAACTAACAGCCATATATTTTATTGTGCTTGGAATGAAATGGAGGAAGTGTTTTGCTTACAAATATTTCAATCTATAAGTTGTTCTCTCATACTGAGGTGTCAGGGTATGCCTACACAGCAAAATGAAAGTGTGGTTGTAGCATATGCTATCATGTTCTGCGAGCTTAAACTAAGTAGCAGAGATAACAACAGTAGTGAAGACGCGGTAAACAAGGGCTTTGATATATACTAACAATCAGAGTTTGTACCCAGGATCTCTGGTCAATTTGGGTCTAGTCTGTATAACAGATTTGCTGGCACATCTCCAGCTGTCCTGTGGCAGTAGAACTCTTCACACTGCCTGAAGAGCAGAGCTCTCAGAAGAGTCCCTTTTTGCTGAGTAGAGCAAGGTTTTTGTTATGGTCCAGCAACCTGCTGAAGACACATAAACATACTCCTAAGGCTTTAGTGGATTGCTGTAGCCTATTCAGCAACTGGTGCCTTCTCAAAATGCACTTTGAACTCTGACAACACAGCTGCTGTAGCCCAGCCACCAGACCATGCAGGCTTACATGCAGTTTGGCCAGATGCCTGCTGTCTGCCACCCAAAGTACAAGGTTGTGTCTACTACATTAAGCTGTCTCTGCTGCCAGAACTTCTTGTGGCAAAGGCAATTTAGGGTAGACAGTTTTGTAATCTGATTAGCAGCATGTCCTAAAGCCGATGCCACTTCACCTTCAGGGCTCTTGTTACCTGTCCTAGCTAGGTTAAGCGTGCAGAGGGATGCTAGCTCATATGAACTTGTACAGACATTCAATTTCTCATGGGAGAGAGAATCGCTGTTCTATCAAGAGAAAATAAGAATGTACACATGTTCAGGCTTTTTCTTTTGGAATAAAAATGGCTGCTCCAAGAGAAAACAACCTGGGAACAACTAGGGTTAAATCACTCCCAAGAGAGTTTCTTCTGCCGACTATAACCTAACCTTCATTTTGTAGTGCAGCGTGCTCATAGCTTTAACTAAGGGCATACACTTGGTTAGCTAGCTACTAGTGCATTGCCAAGAGTGGTGAACAAGAGTTCATGATACTACTGTTTATGTGAGCTCCACAAACACCAACCTTTGGTTTTATTTTTACTGCTGGAATACAGTTTGTTCAAACAAATACAAAATACCGTATTTACTCAAATCCAAGAGGAGTTTTTCCCACAACCCAATCAGCATGGGGAAAAAGATTTTATGATTTTGCCATTTTATGTAGAATAGATAGGGTTACATTTCAGTAGGTGAAATAAAAAAATGTGTCCAAGCTGAAAATTATTCTAACATCATAAAGATGTGTACAACTATATCAGTACAACTATATCTCTCTTGTTTCCTGTGCTGTAGTGAGGTGACTGTTTCCAAAAGTTTTTCAGTGGCAATTGGAACAAGAAGGCAAGAAAATGATTATATAGAGACTTTAAAAGAAACAGTCCTAGAACATTTCAAGACAAGAGGCAGAGAGTGATTGTGTGCTTTTCACTGCTCTTTTCACTGCTGAAAGTGTGGATTCAAATAATCACTTAATTTGTAAGACAAAAAACTCTGAGCAGCCTCAAGATAATAAAGTAGCATCCTTACTACAGTGTCCAGGTACTTCCGGCCAGGACTTACAGCACTATCCTTCACTGTCTGAGGTGTGAATATCTAAAATCCACTAACTTGTGAGCAGTTGCCAAGACATCTTTATGAGCTTCCACAGAGCAGTACCCTTACAATATCAACTGAGATCTGCAGTACTGGGATCTCTCTTGCATTTGTCTGCACCATACGGAGCCCTATAATGACACTAGCTCTTCTAGCCCTTTCCCAGATAAAATGTTACATATTCTACAAAAAAGGAGCAGAACAAATGACATACAAAGGAAGATAAAATAATATTTGTTACTTAACTATAAAGCACGGTGGTGAAAGGCAAACATTAGAGATTACCACACACATCTGCAAAATGGTTTTAAAGAGCAGTAAGGACTGATTGCCAGGAAATGAATGTTGATTTAAACACAGTCATCAAAACTCTTCTCCATTTTCCTCTTAACTGGCAGATGACTGTATTTATGGCCTTGGTGGATACTCCTTTCTGACATGCACTCTGGTACTATCGCTCTTGGACTTGGGGACTTTTTTCTTCAAATAAAATCTTGTACTCTGATTCTCTGTTGCATTTTGCTTAAAGTAGGGATTGAGAACACTGATAATCAAGCACAATGCTAGCCTCCCCATCTAACCTACCCATGTCAGTGTCATCTCAACTCCCTGCTTGTGTCAGTGCCATCTCAATTCCCACTCTCATCCCTCCCAAAACATTCCTTTCTGTTCCAATCCTTGGCCTCACAACTGTGGCACATCCTCATATCCAACATATCCTCATCACTGTGGCAGTTATAATCATGGACGTTTTTTGAGCAAATACTGTGGTTCAGAGATAGCAAAAAAGCATTAACATATGAATTCACCAAAGACACTTTTTGGTAGTGCTCATAGCCAAGGTTTGAGCTTGCTTCCAGAAATGAAGAGGTAAGTAGTGCAGAGAACCTACAACTACAGGCAGTCCTAGACTTACGACATTTCGAATTACATTGAGCAGCACTAAAGACACTTGTAAATTGGCACCTTGTTTTGACATTCCGATGTGGGCTTTGCCTTTATGATGCTGGACACAGCTGTGTCCAGCTGCTAAGTTTGTTGTGGTTGGGGGGAGAGGGGAGGGAAGAGGTGTGGGGAGGCAGATCAATGCCCCTGCAGCAAGGGAAGGATTGCAGCTGGGGCTGGGGCAAGTGCTGCCCAGCCAGGGCGGGGGGGCACAGGAAGTGGGTGGGGTGGCTCCCGCTGATGTGCGCCATAGGTGATGCAGGCACTGCTTGCTTTGGGCAGAAGGTGCTGGAAGCGAGTGCTCTGCCCTGCCACTGCTTGTCCAGCTGGGGTGGGGGGAGGCACAGGGAAGAGGCACTGCACTGCCTCAGACAAGTGGTGAATGGCAGCAGAGCCGCTCCAGCCTCCCCATGCCTCCCGGACAAACTGCTGTTTCACCCTGCTGAGCAGCAGCAGCTGCAGGGCATGGCAGGGACGTGTGCCCTGGATCTGGGGCAGGCGGCAGAGTAGGGGCTATGGGGGGCTGCAGCTACCCTAAAATTCCCCATAGCCCCCACCACCCACCCAGAGCAGCGCCAGCCCAAGCCCCAAGCAGATCCAGGGCACAAGCCCCTGCCAGGCCCTGCTGCTGCTCACTGGGGTGGAGCGAAACTGTGGCTCATCCAGGAGGCATGGGGAGGCCGAAGCGGCTCTGCTGCTGTGCGCTGCTTGCCCAAGGCAGCACAGTGCCTCTGCCACGCACCCCCCGGGTCCCGGGTGGACAAGCAACGGCAGGGCAGAGTCCTCTCTCCCAACACCATTTGCCCAGAGCAAGTAGTGCCTGCATCACGCCCCCCACCATCATGGCTGACCAAGCAGCAGTAGGACAGAGCCCCCACATCCCACTCCCCCTCACACCAGCTGGACAAGGGGAGGCAGGGCAGAGCCCCTGTTCCCAGCGCCTTCCACCTTGCTGCAGGGGAGCAGTCAGACAAGCTGCGAATTCTCCCATAGCCCCTGCACCCAGCACTGCTGGAGTGTAGCCCAGCACTGCCTGCCTTGCCACAGGGGGAGCAGCTGGATGAGCTGTGGCTTCTCCCATGGCCATCCATAGCTCCCAGAGTGCAGCCTGGCACTGCCAGCTTCCCCACAAGCAGAGCAGTGGGGGGGCAGCCAGACAAGCCATGGCTTCACTCCAGGGGCTCAACCCCATGCTCCGGTGACTTTAGGCATCGTTCAGGAAATGATTAAGAGCATTTATGATGAACAGCAAAATTCACAGAGGAACAAGATGCACCCACTGTTTCATAGATTCATAGATGTAAGGGTCAGAAGGGACCTCAACAGATCATCAGGCCTAAGCAGGAAAGAGTGCTGGGGTCAGATGATCCCAGCTAAATGCCTATCCAGCCTTCTCTTAAAGACCCCCAAGGTAGGGGACAGCACCACCTCCCTTGGAAGCCCATTCCAAACTCTGGCTGCCCTTACTGTGAAGAAGTTTTTCCTGATGTCTAGCCTAAATCTGCTGTCAGTTTGTGACCAATGTTCCTTGTTACCCCAAAAGGCGCCCTGATGAACAGTGCACCTCCAATCCCTTGCTGTGTCCCCCTAATGAGTTTGTAGGCGGTCACAAGATCACTTCTCAGCCTTCTCTTGCGGAGGCAGAAGAGGTCCAGGTCCCTCAGTCTCTCCTCATAGGGCTTGTCCTGTAAGCCCCTAACCATACGAGTGGCCCTCCTCTGGACCCTCTCGAGTCTATCAACATCCTTCTTGAAGTACGGCACCCAAAACTAGGTGCAGTACTCCAGCTGTGGTCCGACCAATGTTGCAGAGAAGGGAAGTATCACCTCCCTGGATCTATTTGTCATGCATCTGCTGATGCATGATAAAGTGCGGTTAGCTTTCCTGATGATCTTGTCACACTGATGACTCGTGTTCATCTTGGAGTCCACTATGACTCCAAGATCCTTTTCTGCTTCTGTGCTACTGAGAGGGTCACTTCCCAGCCAGTAGGTGTGCTGGATATTTTTGCACCCTAGGTGCAACACTGCATTTGTCCTTGTTGTACTGCATCCTATTGTGTACTGCCCACTTTTCTAACCTGTCCAGGTCTACCTGCAATTGTTCCCTACCCTCCGGAGTGTGCACTTCACCCC